GTTCTGTTCTGTTTATTTCCACCGACTGCCCCGTTCGGAGTCGAGTCTATATGGACTCCAATGCTCCACATCTGTGTTTGTTTTGCCCAGCCTCAGTTCCAGTGCCCAGCCTCAGGACATTCCTCAAATATCGGACACTTGCTGGAACCAGGAAAATGCACATACATATCGTATATGTATGTATGTAGATATTTAGATCTACTTGCATTTGTGGGATGGGGGCTTGGTTCAGGTTCAAAGTACGGAAACGGCTCTCATTTCCATATATCGGATTGCAAAATAAAAAGTGTACGGTCGACTTTTGCAATTGTTATATATGTACATATGATATAAATACAGTACCATAATGTAATATTTAACATTCATCATGATATTAATTCTCTCCGAAAACCCCAGCCTAGCCCCTTAGGGGTCTGCATTCGATATGCTTAATTAGGCAATGGGCGTTGAGTATAAAAAGCGTCTTTTGTCGCTGCCACGCCCCACGCCCCACCCCCAACTCTTACGCACACACACACAGTCGCACAATTACTACTGATGCAGATACACACAGAGATACGAGACAGAGACACACATGTTGCCCCATGTTCCATTACACACATGTGGCTCTGGGCCTTGCCTCCCCATGTTTGATCTCTGGCCAGGCACTGCACTGCAAAACATTTGAAAATACGATGGGTCCCGTAATAGAAAACCCATGAAAAATCGATCAATATTAAGAAATCAGTATTTGTATTTCTTAAACACCATTTAAAACATTTGAAGAACAGTTCCGGAAAATATTCTGTTACAAAAAATAAATATTTTGCATTTAAATGAGTTTAATGGAATCTTTGAACACTATCTCCGGATTTATAGCAAATTTAACTTATTTTTTTTACTTATTAATTATTAATTTTCTGTTGTATTTTATTGGTCTAATAATTATCCCAAACTTCAGCAATTGGTCTTCAGTCTTTGTATTAAATTCTACTTTTATGTGAATATGGGAATACCATAACACCCCGATATCTCTTGGGGAATTCATTTGAAGAAGTACCGAATCCCTAATGTCTCCGCTAACTTATAAGAAATTCGTACAGCCAATCAATGAATCGTGCCCCAAGTGTAACTTTATGTTTTATCCCATTTCATGTTGGACAGTGTGTATCGTATCGCTCGCGTTCTGTGGGTGACCGGGGGTCGGCATCGTTGACGTCGACGTCGGCGTCGGGGACTGTGTGTGCGACTGCGACTGCGACTGCGACGTCAGCGGCACGACCGCCACCCAAGAAAAAATGATCAACGGCATCTTGAGTTCAATTTCAGTTGAAATTCTGTTAAATTCGCGAACGCGTCGCGAGCCTGGAGCTCTCCCAAGCCAATTCGATTCGATTCGATCCCGAACTAAGCCGAACCGTATGGCTCTCCATCACCCACCCATAAAATTACCATATACCGCCCCCAAGCCCCTGTTAAACTAGAACTCGTATTACTCCAGTACTAGGTACTCTCACTCGCGGATGTGCGCTAAGTCGAGCTTATCAGCGGCCGGGAATTTCGTTTGTGTTTTGTGTTTATTTTTTCAGTGCAGCGATTTGTTTAAGAATGAATTAAAAAACCTCAACGTGATGTTTGGGTGCGGAAATTCTACCTAATGTGGCTGTAAATCGCTTGATTGATCAAGTACGACTATATACAGCAATACTATACTGTATATTCCATAGAAAGATAGAGTGAGAGTGAATGAGAGATAAGAATTGTGCGATAACTAGGACAGAGAGTGTGGAAAATTCAAGAGGGCCAAACCCTGTTTTATACTCGTATTATACATACATATGTACATATGTATAGTATATATAGTATATATTTTTCAATTACATTTGTAAACATTCATCATCCATTCCATTTATTTGTCACACACACTCCACTCGTGGCGATGATTCATTGTGCCATAGGCAAATCCATAGATAATGTACAATCTAGCATTTCCATGCCCCGCTGTGGCGCCACATAAGTCTGGACTTTTGTTGTTGTTTTTTTTTTTAGTTGTTTCCCCTCCCCACTACGGAGTGCGGGGTCAAGCCTCTGTTGACCCGCTGCCTAAAAGTATGCTAGTTGTGGTATCCCATTGATCTGATAATACATAATCCGTATTCCAGAGATAGAGATGCGGCCAAGGATGAGTGATGCTTGGCTGCTGCTTTGTGGGTTTTCCATAATGGAAAGTCATTGTCTGTGAGGCTTGAAAGTTTCGACAATGGAAACTCCCACGGACGAACACGGCTATCTTGAAAAACCAATCTGTTGTTTCTATAAAGAACATCGATCCACCCCCTCTATAATTTATGTACCCATAATCTCAGTCAAACAGTAATAAAAATTGAATGTAAAATGAAATATTAAAAATTATGATATTATTTTTATTTAAATAATACCAATACATAGGCGTATAAGACATAGAACAAGACGGTGTATTAGATACCAAAGAGGGATCAAAGTTGATAGAGATGTATCTGTGTATCTTACACCTCCTCATACATCTTCTGCGAGCCAGAACGAAAAAGATGAAAGGGGCAAAACCTTGAGCCAGTTTCGTTTTTGGCAGACTTTTTACCTATTAATTTTCTCGAATTGGACTTCCAGTAATTTTCCAAACCCAGTAGGCAGAATTACACTACAATATAAATCATTTTCTTGGTTCAAATCATTCGTTTTTGTTTCGCCAGAGTAGCAGGTTCGAGTCAAGAAAAATATTTAGAAATTGTTGGTGTTACTAAATTCAAACATTTTAAAACTCAAATTTGTGTTTGGCAAAGGCCTAAATTTACGAAAAATTAAAAAGTATTCAAGCCCGACAGCCCAAAATTCAAGATGAACCAGAAGCAGAAGCCACGGACCAGCATCAAGAAGAACTACAATGTGCCGAACAAAGCGAAGGAGAGCTGCCGCATAACCATCGAGGCCCTGGGCACTGCGATGTGTGAGATGGGGTTCTATCCCACCGCAAAGGAGCTGGCCGACATGATGATGGTCGCTGACCCCAAAACCATCGGATCCCTCAATTTTGAGAGGTTTTGTACCATATTGGAGAGGGCCGAACGTGGTATGCTGTTGCGCGCCGCCTTCGACGAGATGGACAGGAATGGTGACGGCTGCTTGTCCCGCGGCGAACTCTACGAGGGCATGGAGGACGCCTTTGAGGACCTACCTCTGGACCCGTTCGTTGTGGATGCCATGATGCGTGAGGCGGATCCCGATAATACCGGCTACATTTCCTTCGATCGCTTTATTGATTTGTCGCTTAAATACCAGACAATCGATACTGAACCAAGTCAATAATCACAAAATCACACTTAACACTTAACAAAGCTCGAAACATGCTGCTGGCGAATACAATATTTCAATTCAATATACAAATTTTACAAATATTCCATTCGTTCATGTTTATGTACATTGTACATATGTATGTGCATACATATGTACATATGTATGTACGGATATTACCATAGGGATATGCCCCTTGCTTTTTCCCCAATGTTGGGCTATGCTTGGGAAACAGAGGCGAGTACATTTAGATAGTATATTACAAGAATACAAAATAGACAACAATCCAATAGTTTATCGAATCCCCAGATTTTATATATAAAATATTAAATTATTAATTAGATGGTCAAATGAAAAGTATGATGCATTTTTAATATAGCATCCAATGGATATTGGAATTTATTTGAATAAAAATTCCATTCGTTTTCCCTTTTCATTCCAAGAGCGGAACATGATTAATGGTAATAATCTTAGATCAAAGAATGACTAATAGCTGGGGGGAGACCCCAAAGATCCAGATTCTAGAGACATCAAAGGGATAAGGGAAAAATAAAATTCCGCCCCTTCCCCAACAAGAGAGATTAACAGATTTATTAGGGCATCGTTCTCTTGGGGTTCCTTTTGATCGCCTTCCGTTCCGTTCGCTCGTAGGACAGCTGTTCCAACAGGTTGTCCGCATTCCATTAGGCATCGGTCGGCGTCGCGTCGGCACCTGTGAGGCGTAGGTGACTGGCGAGACGTCAGCGGGGTGTTACACAATTCTCGGCGAGCGTTAACCAGTTTTCACCCGTCGGGTTCTTTTCGGGTGATGGGGATTGTTGTGGATACAAGGGGAGGTGGGACGACACGCCCCTGACCGACAGCTACGGCGGCGGCGACATGCTTTGCTGGATCTTTGCTTTTGTATGACTCATCATCCCCACAATCATCATGATGATATTATATTATAATCATCAACATGGTTGTCGGCGTCAATCGTCAGAGTCCCCCTCCCCCTCCTTCTCATCGTCGTAAAGCCGAAGAGCTACAAAGAAAATAAAAACAAAGCACACCCAAAACGAAACAACAAAAAAACAAAGAAAACAGTGTTAACTTAACCCTTCAGCGGTGCCAGTGGGAAGTTCTGGAGGGAGATAGTGAATATGCTTAAAAGCTGTTTACTAATACTGGCACACATTTCTAAAGAGAAAATCTCCAATCTCAGTTTCCATGTAAGGGCTAAACTTAAAGAGCATTAAAATTGAAAGAGATACAAAAGAAACAACAAAAGTCCAACAACAATTAATTCAATAAAAATAACCCTTCAGCGATGGCAGAATACATTCAAAATTAATTCATTAATATTCTCAAATATATTCAAACAGACCCAAGTAAATGCTGATATTTAAAAAAATGTTTACACTGAATGAAGCAACTCCTCACCATCTAAGGGTTAAGCACAAGGCGAGCCAGGCGTTGAGGCAGAAGTGCAGCGACTCTCATTTTTGTATGTGTGTGGTGTGTGTGTGTGCATGTGTGTTTGCCGTTGAGATAATGAAAGTCAAAGCAAAGGAGCACGAAAGATAGATAGAGAGGCCGCCGCCTGCATTTAACTGTTTGAATTGCTTCCATTTAAATTAAACCGCTTTTGTTTCACTGCCCTCTTATTGTATGTGTCTCTCTCTCTCTCTCATCTATAATGAATTACGACGCAGCAGCAGCAGAAATTCACAATAACAATGCGATAAGCGTGTGCGGTGCGGTGCGTGCTCTTGTTTGTGTGTGTGTTGTGTTGTGAAAGAGAGTGAGTGCAACGAGAATAAGAGAAATGCCACAGAAAGTGAGTGAAATCGAACGGAACGCGGACATCAACGACAATCTCCGTCGGCCGCTAATGAATGGTGAAGGAGGGGAAGGGGGAGCGCATATCTACGAGAATCTTCCCTCGCCCGCCACACCCCAGCTGTGCCCTCCGTCGCTGTCTGTACCGTTGCCCGATCTCCGCAAATATTTTGCCCGCGAAGCCATCTATGAGAATCTCTGCCGCGGCTGTGGCTATGGCGTCTTTGCCGCCCAAGGTCATTACTGCCATTTCTGTCAGTGTATTGTGAGCGGTGGTGTGCCGCCATCCACTCTCCCCTCCCCACCATCACCCAGCGAGGGGAATATCTACGAGAACATCTGCGAACTATGTCGGCAGATCTACAGCGACGGGGGGGAGTGCCACTGCCAGGCAGAAATGTCCACGCACACGCCCACGCCCACTGCCACTCCGGAGCCAAAGACAAAGCCACCCACACCGCCCACAACGGGGGTGAAGAGCAAGTCGAGGACTCTGCTCAATTACTCGAAATCCAGTGCCGCGACCTTGACCCGTCTCTTTGGCTCTCTCAAGCACCTGAATCGCTCCGGATCGCTGCAAAGGAAGATCTTCCAAAGAGAACCAAGAACGGGGCCGGGCTCCCTGGAGATCATCCACAATGTGGGCGAGGTGTTTCGCACTCAGGAGACATTCGACATGCAGCGAATCTGCGAGCTGAAGAGCCAACTGCAGAGCAGCCAGAGCGATCAGCACATCTACGGGAGGGTACGAGAGCCGGACAGAGATGCGGCGGTGGCGGCGCAGGAAGTTACGCTTGTGCAGGAGAAGGAGCAGCGCAAGAAGCCACGCGTGTCACGCATTCGCCTGCTCCAGGCGGAGGAGGAGGCGTCACTGTTTCTCAATGAGAGCATTTGCCACTGGATGGCCACGTTGCGGCATCAGGTGCACAACTACGAGGATGGGGAGGGCGTGTGCCAACAGCCAAAGAGTGTGCCGCCCTCCTACGAGCGAGAGAAGGAGCGTGAGCGAGAGCGGGAGATGGAAACGGAGAAGGTGACCCTGCGAAGGGTGGGCGAAAAGCAGAGCGGGCTCACCAAAGCGGAGCCCGAGCAGCGGCTCGTGGATGACTTCAAGCGAAAGCTCAAGCTGAAGAGAGAGTCGCCCCCGCCCTCTGTACCACTCGTGCAGCAGCAGAGAGAGCAGGAAGAAGAAAGCCGGGATCGAGACCGCAACCGGGACCGGGAAGAGATCAAGGATCAGCGTCGCTGCGGAATCAATGAGCATTTGAATGTCGATTTTGTCAATGAATTTCTGAGTGGCCTAGAGGGAGAACCAACACAAGAGAGCCACGGCAGTCAGCCAAGAGAGCCCCTCCCGTTGGCGATGATGACGATCCCACCATTGAATGGCCGTATCTCGCTCTGGCAGCTGATGCAAAGCGCAGCTTTGGCTGCCAGCCTGCATGCATGTGTGCGTGACTTCATGTGCTTCTATGACAAATCATTGAGCCGCATGCTCAGAGAGCAGCAGCAAGAGAGCCAGATCGTTAAAATTGAGCGCTGGCTGAGAGCGCAGCGGCGGCGTTGTGAGTCAGTTGCGCCGGCGTTGGCGGCTCCACCGGCTCCAAGGCGAACGCTTTCATTTCTTCCCGCGACGCCGGCGAGTGACGACGTTAGTGCTGCGATGGTCGCTAGGCCTCCTCCTACCCTTGCGACCGACAACAGAAACAGACCCAGTGATCCACAAGAGAGTGAAGCGAGTGCGAGTGTGAGGGAGAGCGTAAGCGTGCAGCGATCGGAAAGCGTTCGTGATAACAAAAACAATAGCACAAACGCGGCGGTCGTTGACGGCGACGGCGACGTTGACAGCGACTGCGACGGTAACGGCGACAGCACTGTGATGGCAGCGCCCAAACCATGCGGTGACGCTGAGCAGCGGCTCAATAGCAACAACAGTAGCAGCAGCGACAATGAGAGCAGCAGTGGGAGCAGCGGCAGCAAAGAGCATGGCATTGCCAGCAAGCAGCAGCAGCAGCAGCAACAAATTACTCAGGTCAACACTCATTAAAGCAACAATAAAACGAAATTGTTTCTTTTTTCCATCCAATCCTACCCTACCCCACACACCCCCCCTTCTATTTACGCTGTTGCGGTTCACTGTAGTTCGAAATTGACTCGGAAAGGCCCAACGGTGGGGAGACGGCAATGCTCTCGTTTTTCCAATTGGAAAATTAAAATAAAAACAAATGAGAGAAAAAAATGTGTTTGAAAAGCAAACAAATTTGTAATATAAACAATTTGCAATAATGAGATAACCATAAAAGAATTAATTAGTTAATTAAAACTTTATACATTTATGCATGTATATTTTTTTTTCGGTGATTGTGGAAGAGTGTTGCCAGATGACAAAAAATAAACAAACAAAATAAAGAAAGGGAAGAGAAGTGAAGAATGAGAGTGCTGCCATAATCGCGATAGAGAAACAGAAATAACAAAAACAATTTACGAATGCAAAAAACAAAACACAATCACGATTTCAATGGGATGGAGAACATTTCTATGGCAAATTTAAATGTTAATCACAGCATATCGGTATTTATAATTGATTAATTCAAGAATCATTGACATCAAATGTTATTTAAACATTTTTTATGCAACTATTCTTATTATTTCTTTGAAATAACATAGAAAAACAGCATATAAATGTTCTTTATCGGTCGTTTCTCGAGTCAATTTCAAATGCTCCCACGATAAGGCCCCCCCGTGTGAGATTTGTTTGCTTTGCGAATCAACGAATATTTGTTTACTTGTAGAATTGTGTAATTAAGGTGCGTCGCCCGGCCCCGAAAGTACCCGTACGGAATCCGAATACCGCTCTGAGTAATCCTCAAAAGGAGAGCAACAACAACAACAATCAGGTGGACGAAGCGGGTAGACGACTCTCCGATGGCAGTTACGGGGAAGAGGAGTCCATTTATCAACCCATTTGGCAGTTCAAGACCCTCGAGCCTCCCGTTGAAGATCTTGAACATGAAGAAGAGATTGCTGTCGAGGCGGCGGCGGCGGCACCAGAACTTGGCGACAACGAAAATGACAACGAAGAAGAGGATGATGATGATGATGACGACGACGACGACGACGACGACGATGATGATGAAAATGGTGAAATGGAGGAGGAGGAGGAGCTGGAGGTAGAAGATGACTTTGATGATGACGCAGACGCTGATGCTGACGCCGATGTTATGGCCATTCAGGCAGCTGCGGTCTTTGCAGCCGGAGTCCGATACAAGCTCTCAACATCGACGCTGACTAAGCGCTCGAAAATGATGCTGCCAACGCCACTGCCATCGCCCACAGCATCGATGGACCAGGGCGCCTGGGAGACGGATGTGGAGTTTATGTTCTCGCGGGACAGCAAAGAGGTTGTGGCCCCCGAGGAGAGCCCCCAAGAGAAGGAGCAGGAGCAGGAGGAGGACCTCGAATACCAGCTGGAAATGGAGGATACCCTGGAGACGCTGAGTCTCGGGAGTACAGTCACGAATAGCACAGCCACCATGGGGTCCATAAGCAGTACGGGCAGCGCCTCCCGCATGCGACCGTCATCATCACAACAAAAGGTTCCACTGGTGCATCCACTGCTGCGCAACATTTGCATATTCTATAGCATACGGGAACCAAAGAAATATAGCGCCATCTTCTATGACTACCAGCGCTCCCAAGTCCATCAGCGATTCATGACACGCATCCGACGTCCAGCGCCACCGCCACCGACACAGCCTCTGTCAGCGCCAAAAGCACCAAAGATGCAGCAGCAGCAGCAGCCACCACAGATGATGCCACTGCCGCCTTCTATTGCTGCACTCCCACCTTTGCCACTGCCAACCATCAATGATGACAGCGGCTGCAGCTGTGATGCGGCAGAGGACAGTGAGGTGGTGCATTCTCAATCGAAATTCGTTGCCATTCCGACACCCCTCAAAGAGGACTGGGCCCTGGCCTGCCTGGCCGCAGCGGCGGTCACCAAGCGAGGCGTTGGACCCCGTTCCGCTCGCAAGCTAAGGGTACGTTCCAATGCCCGGCTTCTGCTTACAGATTCGGTGCTGGCCTGGCGGGCGAACCTTCAAGAAGTCAACTGTTGCGAGGACGAGGAAGATATGGTGAGTATATGGAGTAGGGGAAAGGGAATTCGTACTCGAACGGCAACGGGAACGGTCCATGTCATGTCCATGGGAACCACTTTCTGAATTTACTACGGAAATTCGTTGTACTTCTTTGTGTATTGTGGCGGGGGGTTTCCCATTGTTTCCACACTTGTCACTTGTCACATCAATTAAACGTGGGGCAAATGTATCTCTGTGCCTGTATCTGTATATCTGTATGTCTGTGGAGCACAAATACTAGATGGTAGAGGGAGGGGTGTGTGTGTGTGTGAGTGTGTGCAACGGTGCATTTCGATTGTTTTGCCTACAGATCTATGGGAGGCAAGGCCCCTTGAACGATGTTGCCGTTGGGAGGGGAATAAGCTCTCAGGTATACCCTTACTCCGGCCTGTGGGTCTCTTGGTCTGTGGGGTGCGGTGTCCGAAAATAAGTACAAAGAAATGCAACGAAAATTTGTCTTCTTTTGATGTAAGTTTAATGCTTGATGCAAAAGTGTTAGGAGTTATCGAAGCAACTCTATAACTTAATTAAATGAATTTATATAAATGAACAGCGCTGGATAAGAAACTGTACTTTTTCATATATCAGAGTAAACTAACAATGGAAACCACTTTAGTCATATAAATCTTCACCTTTTACAATTGAAACCCAAGAATCAAGAAGATTCAAAAAAAAAAAAATATCTCTACAGATTCGAATAAATTGAATTAATTATAGTATATAGCTTAGAATTGTATTTAATGCGAATCTTTTGGGATATTTTTAATTTGCGAATTATCAAAAAGTGTTAAATGACAGACTTTTTTAAAGTGGAAAGGTATACTATGTTACTAGGTACTAGAGACTAGAGACTATAGTTGTGTATACACAGAACTCAAAGATATAACATTTTTATTATTTTAGTTATTTTAGTCGTTGAAGTTTTGAAATTTGTCTTCTGTTTATGGAATTTTATTTTATGGTACTTATTCAATCTAATGTTTAAGCCCATTAACATGCAAGAATTCCATGTCGATGTAATGCAAATTTGAATATTTCTACTTGATCTCCATTCAATCTTTGGATCAAAGAGCCATTTCGCTTGTGGGAAATTTGCACAGTCAAAGAAATATTATTCCGACGGACGTGTAAGAGCATTCTGTAGTCGCCTCCTCCCCCACCCCCACCCCATTTATTTTGTTCGTGTCATACCCTTTCCATTCGGCTTTTGATTGCACTTTGTTTATAACGACGCGTATCGCATGAGTATGAGTTGGGGTATGAATGTGTGTGTTTGTGTGTGTGTGTACACATTTGTTGTTGCCGCTTTCTGCATAATATAATTTTATTTATTTGCCTCTCACGTTTGTTGTTTTCATTTGGCCGTTTGCTGCATTTGCAGTCGCGTCGCCGTTGCATGCGATTTCCATGGAAATTCATTGAGGGGAAGAGTCGTTCGAGTCGTCGGTTCCCCCCAGATCTGTGGGGGCTCTTCCCAGGCGGGACCCCAAAAAAAGGTTGATTCACATTTCGCATTTTGTGTTGTCTGCCCTGCCCCCTGCCCGAACGACAATTATTTATTTATTTGGTTTTATTTATCTTGTTTTTTGTTTTGGCGTACATATATTCTGACATATTTAAGTATATGTGTGAGTGTCGCGCGTGTGTATCTATGTATGTCTATATAGTTAAAACTTGTGATTTTTGTTATAAACATTTGACAGAACCGGTTCTAGGCTTCTGAGCAATTTGCTGTTGTGTTTAAATACTCTTTCTATACGTGATTTGTGGGGGATATTTTTTCTTTTGTTTTAAGTATTTTGTTTTGCTTGGAATCCACAATCAGAATATTTGGAGAGCAGTTCAGAACCGCTATACCACTAGGAGACATTCGCGGGAATACGTTGATTCACAGTAAAAAATTCCTCCCAACAAAAGGACACATTTGATTTGAATAACTCGTGGTCCATTCGCCATGAGCGATTCGGGCCGAAGGAAATATCATACTTTAAGGGTATGTTAAGCTTCGGGGACTTTTGTTGCTGATTTATATTTGGTTTTGGTGTTTTTTCTTGCCGATAATTTCATTTCCAGCCTTAGAGCTCAAGCTCCTCCGTTCGTCGCTTTTATCAGCATTTAATTGGTTGGGTTAATCATTAGTCAAATAATTTGCTGTAACTTTGGGCCCCTCATCGATTGTTGGTTTTGAGTTTCTTCTCCACAACGAACCCAAAACGACGAACCTTTTATCGCTTGGATTGTAAAAATGCTTAACGGAGCTTGAGTGTTCCATAAATAAGTTTTTTTTTATTGGATTTTATGCAGAAATGCAGATTATATTCGGATACAGATACGAGTATATGACGAATGGTTTTTATATACATAACATATGTATGTATTTCCTCCCAAAAGAGATTTTTCTTTTTTTTTTTTTATTTTATATCATCAAATCATTGGATCATTTATCTTTTTATCTTTTGGTTATAAATTGACTTTTTTGAGGGTTCGGGGATACGATTGGACTTGAACCCTCTTGAACTTTGTGGAATGCTTAATGCTTAAATCAAACAAAAATTAAATATAAATCGGTTATAATTGGGTACTGTGAGCCCTACCTCCGGCTATAAATAGATTATGAATCGGTCAAATTTTGTATGTAAATCGGTAATGGAACTAAAATGATCGAAATATTAAATTGGTTCGAATCTCCTTAAAGTATTTATGAAATTTATGAAAGATTGAATGACAAATGGTTACTAAACGGTGAAAATGTGTTGTGTATTTGTTTGAATCGTTTATTACATGAAATTAAACGAATTTATTTTGATTTCAGCTAAAGAGAAATGGAATCGGTTAAACGATAGTTAAGAATCGGTTATTGTATTGATTATGAATATCTTGCTAACCGGTAAAAGTGCTTTGAATCGGTTATGAGCCAGCTGATTGATACAAGATTATACATTGGGCTAGAATCGGTTTCACATCTGTAATACACGTAAATGCTCAATGAATTATGAATAGTGTTACGTATAGAAGCTAAATATATTAATTATAGTCTAAAATAATTTTTGAAACGGCTTTGGGTCTTTGTTGAATTGCTTTTCAGCGATTTATGAGACGGTTGTAAGCCGATTATGGCTACAAATCACAACATATTTACAAAAAAACGTGACATTATTATTTGTGTAAGCCACTCACTGGGCCTTCCAATCAATCCCAAACAAATCAGTGTCGGATGGAGGCTCTTGACGATGATTTTCATGGCACATGGCACATGGCTCATGGCTGTTCCGCCCACACACACACACCGGAGAAGCTTCTCCTCTCAAATGGAGCATTACGTCGGAGTCGGAGTCAAGATCCGGTGCCAGTTTTTTTTGGGGGAAGCTCAAGGCAGCGATGATGAGAGGAGCATCTACTAAAACACAAAAAAGAAAAAAATATTTAAAGGAAAGAAAGAAAACAAAAAACTGTAAAGGTCAACTGCGCCTTTGTTTGGTTTTTGGTTTTTTCATTTGTTTATTTTTGTTGTTTCGGTTCGCTTCGGTTCCGCTCTGGGTTTTGCTCAGTGAATCATACGCATGTCGGACGAATGGCGATACATAGACACAGATACAGATACATTTCCTGCCTGGTATCTGCGGGCGAGGGGCGAGGAGCACAACTCGTGCAAATTGTGGGGCACCTCGTGCCGTAAAGCAATGCAAACATGTGTCTGAATGTATGGCCGCACCGCACTTCGAGGTCGCATCAATTAAGTATTTTTTGTTCGCCTTCTTTTTTCTGCTCGATATTATTGTTTATACACTGGCAGTACCCTCTCCCCACGAATATCATACATAGCTACCATTGCACCGAGATTTATATTTGGACCGCTAACGCCAGAGAGCGGCACATGCGAAGGTGCAAAAACACATCTTGTGTACATTGGGACGGAGGCTGGTTCGGTTTAAAAAAACGATATATAATGCCTCGATCAAAAGATTATCATTAGCCTTTTATCATTGTAGTATGTATATTCATTTCGACAGCTAAATTTCAATTTTAAAGTTTTGTCAGCCCCTAAGAGGCTTCTTCTCCTCCTCCGCCTAAAAACTACTACAACGTATTATTTTGTTATTTTTTTTAGATTTTGTTTTGTTTATGTTAGCAAAAATTATAAAACTAAGAAAAACATATACGAAAAATGAATAAAAGCGAGAAAAAATAGAGAGGGTGAAAACAAAACAAAACAAAAAACAAATTAGCCAAAACAAATTGAGTCTAATCTTTGAAAATGTCGTGCCTCTGCTCTAATTTGTTGAAATTATCAAGCGATAATTAGAGGGGAGCCCCAAGGTAGACGGGGGATCTACATATATGAACAGCAAATGGTGTACGACTGTACAGTAAGTTGGGTATTGGATATTACAGCTGTACCAATCGAATTGTTTCTCTTTATCGATAAACATTACTTGGCTTCATAGTCTGTACTTTACTTATTGGTGATTTTTTTTTTAACAAGTACGTTGATGATTTACTATCATTACTTATCGCTAAAAAGAGGAATTCCTGCCCTAAACGAATCAAAGATATGATATCTACAATTGTAGTTATTGTATGTAAGTACATCCGTTAATAGAAATATTGTTTGGTATTATTTGTACAAGATTTTGGATATGTGCTAGGTTTATTCTTTACCTCTAGACTCTTTCTAGTCGTGTTCTTGGCCCAGAAAGTGTATAAATTCTATACATGTCTGTATTATCTTGTATCATAGTTCTATAAATCCAAGAGGCCATATTTCATCGATAATAATTGATAGCTAGCCAACTGTTTACGCTGGGAGACGTTTGGCTTTGGCTTTCTGTGTAATTATATTTTCTAAACAGATATTTTTAAATGAATCGAATCGCTTCGAATGTGCACAGCATGCTTTACAATTCCAACGAAAGGCTAATCTCTTAGGAGAACAATTTATTGAATTTATGGCTGGCAGAATTCAGGGGAAGTCCAGGTGCAACTTATCGCTCTGTGGCATATAGAATAACTGTATTCCTGGGGAGGGGGGCGCCAGTTGGTGCCGTGCCACACATTTATGGATGTGTCAGCGAGCGATATATGTATGTATATTTGTACATATGTATGTATGTACAGTCTGGAGAATTGTGTGGCTTTAATGCAGCAACTCCATTATAGTCGTTGCATTTGAAACCGTTGCACGTTGCACGCTGCTGTTGCGCATACGCATACGCCTACGCGCTCTGTCGTTTTTCTTACAAATCGAATTCGAATTTTCTTATCAATATCACTGTTCGGGAAATAAGAGATAGCGTTGTGGCCTAGACAAAAAAAAAAAAGGAGAACGAGAACTGCGAGCCTATCAGCGATAAGAAATGACGGGCAAAGGCAAAGGCAGATCGAAGAGAAGGCAAACTACGGTGAGCGATGGAGTGGAAAAACAAAAACCACCTTCAACAGAAAGTTTCGAAAGAGTGCAAATAAAAATGGGACTCCCGCTGTGGGCGATACCCTACATTAAGTGAGAGAATAATCCACTTAACTTTTAAAATCTTTTCACGACCCAAGACCATATCTAATGGGCTCGAAAGCAATCGATTGCTCTCTACTTTTAGAGGGTATGAAACAGCAGAGTGCAAAAATAAAGAAAAGACAAAAATACAACAACTTTACAACAGTCGACAACGACAATTGACATCGGCACGAAATTTGCAATTAATTGGGCAGACGTTACCTCGAATCGTGTGCATCCGACCCACAATCTTAACCCACTTCCTCCTCTTACCATACCCCAACCCCCAACACACAGTCAACGGAGTTGAACTTGAGATATTAATGCATTGCGTGTTTTGCCTCTATCATTTCAGATTGTGCCAGTGACTGATATATTGCGGGCACAGCAGATCCAGGAGGACAGCGAGGTGCAGCAGACACAGCAGACGGTGATATTGCAGCGCTACAAGAGCGCCTCCATTGGGGATCTGGTGGATCTGCCCGGCGAGGATGACAAGAAGTCCATCAAGAATCGCATGCGCATGAAATGTACGTACAAGCGGCAACGAAACGTGTCATGAAAACTGTACAAAAAATGGGAAATTGTAATCTAGAGATGCAACCCGTTTCGAAACGGTTTTAATGATTAAAAGTGGGGAAATGCAGATGTTTAAAGGCCAACAACAACAACAACAAAATAGCAGCGAAATTAGTTATTTTTTACTTACTTGTTGCAGCATTCGCTTGTGCGTCTCGAGTCTGAGCACCGATAGAGCAGCTGGGAACGTAGTTTCTAAAAGAATATCCTGTAGAGAACACAGCACTGCTTACAGAATGTATATTATTAGGGGCTTTAAATGTTTATAAAATAGTTAGAAAAACGCTGGGAAAAAATCCTCCTAGAAAATGGTGGTAAAACGATTTAGCATCTGTTAATAGTCCATGAATCGGTTGTAACTATATTTTTCGTAAAAATTAAGAACAAATCAGTTGAGTCATTTTAGTGAATTATTTTCTTATAAACAGTTAAAAGAGATCTTTAGAAGCCTTGACATTGATGAGAACTCGTTTCTATTATCTTCTTGTGTGATTTTTGTATAGATAAGTCCCTATTAAGTGTTGGCTATTATATTCTGGTATACTTTTGAGCACTCTTTCAAGCACTAGCATATTGGAAAGAATGGATGTCTGGAAAGAATTGTGAGGGCGTAGGTGATAAATATTTGTATGCATTAAGAAGTGGCTGCCAGTGAGGTTCCAGGTATCATGCAGAGAGAATGTCATCGGAGCATTTCACTATTTGCATGTCGGAATGTATATATGTATTCCCAGCAAACAATATTTAAGCCGAAACTGTAGTAACAAATTATTCTCTTTTCATGTGGGTGGATGTGGATCTGCAGTTGCTGTCAATAGGGATGTGTTTCGAATGTAAGTATGACTTTTTGAATATCCAAATTCTCTTTAAATATATTTCTTATATCTTTTGATTTCCCTTGCAGCAATCGCTCGCCAAAGAGCGAAAAGAAATCGCGCACACGACGCGGCCAGGTGAATAGCCTGTATCTGGACGAGCAGTCCAAATATCCGATCTTTGGGGCACCTCTCAACGCCCTGGAGCTGAACATGACCGATCATCCGAATGTGCCGCGTTTTGTCGTCGATGTGTGTGCCTATATTGAGCGTCCGGATTGTGTCGAACAGGATGGCCTGTATCGGGCCTCCGGCAACAAGGTGCTGGTCGATGAGCTTAAGAAAAAGCTAACGCATCTGTACGATCCACGCTTCCTGCACACCGACGACATCCATACGCTGACCAGCCTGCATAAGCAGTTCTTTCGCGAGCTTTCGGCTCCGCTCATCACCCAGGAGGCTTACGAGCGTCTGGGGCGCAGTCTGAGCGATGAGGCGGCCATCGAACGGATGCGTTTTGCATTCGATGAGATGCCCGAACCGAATCGATCCACACTCAGATTCCTCATCAAGCATTTGACCAGGTTCGCTCTGATACCTATTGACCTATTCCGATACCCATACTAACTTATTGATCTGTTTTGCTTTTTTTTCAGAGTTGCTGCTGCCAGCGCTTCGAATCGCATGCCCTCCACCAATTTGGCCATCGTTTGGGGCCCCTGCCTGCTCAGTGCCAATCAGATTCAGCTGGATATTGGGCGCATGAACATGTTGGCCAAGGTGCTGATCGAGAACTATGACCGGATCTTTCAGCCGGACAACGAGCGTCTCGTCTGCTAGGATCCCCCGCCCAAACACAACATTTTTAAGTGCCTCAAGCATCACACCCAACCATACAGACAATCATCACATACACACACACACATACCCTCACATTTATTGGCAGAGAGTCTTTGAGATTTTCTCTACATTTTTGCCCAGATTATCGCATATATTTTTGTTAATTTAAAACCCTTTTTTATGTGTTTGTCTAAGATTTTGTTTCCAGCTTTAATATCTATTTTTTTTTTGCTAATTTTAATATTTTTTTTAATATGTTATTTATTTGATTCTTTGGAAATTCGAGCAGCAACAAAAACGAGCAGAAACCCATCAAGAAAATACTTACCAAAAAGACAGTAGAATAAGTTACAGCTAAACCATTATTAATAAATATTAAATCCATATATTAATGACGCGATGCTCTGCCCCTGGCTATGGCCAATCCCAAAATACAAAAAAAATAAAAATCCACTCGTTCTTTTTTTTGTTGACAATATCATGAAGGAGTTGATATTCGGGAGCCCCCATTCAGATATATGTATGTATGATATACTTATATGATATACCATACACAGATACAGATACGACAACTGCATATTGTAGATAGTAAATCTATGACTCTCTCTATATATATATATATTTTTTTTTATGTTTCGAGTAGCGCAGTGAATGAAAGCCAAAAAATTTGTATGTTTTGCTATCTCAATAAAATTATGGAAATAATATAAAATTAAATGAAACAAGAAAAATTGTTATTCGGTATGTGTGCAGGAAGAATGATTCCTTCTGCTGATTCTGATCCTTAAAGAGATTTGGGATTTAAGAGATGCCCGCAGAAGATATACCATGTGTGTGCATACTTATGCTGTCTTATTCGCCCAAAGGGATTGCACTCTTCTATTACAGATATTTATATATAGTACATATAAACCCATGAGAGAAGCTTTCTTTCAATCGAAATACTCTTAATAAAATAAAATTTAAAGGGATTCCACAAGAGTTGGACTTCCATTTAAAGCAGATAATTCCCAAATAACTGGTAACTGTTCATGCTTTTGAAAGGATCTTTGATTCCACAATGTAATGCTATAATCTATATAAAGCGAAACAATTTATTCGAATTTGAGGTGAGATCAGTGCTGTCGCTGTTTGGACTTAGCTCGCGGCTGATGTTAGTCATGGCAATCAAAAACTAATAAGAATCCCACCATTCAGATGGAATTGCAGAGAAGATTCTTAACTCATCCCAGAGTATTTTAAATATGGGAGGGGTAACCGTTTGATCCAAGCCGGTGTCAAAAATGTATATGCAACGGATGCATTCGTCTCTGCAATCACTGAGCTGTGGTGATGATTATTAATAGCTACATTTACTATATACAACCATGCAGACGAAAGAGCTGTAACAGAAAGGAGTCAGATCTAGCCATATTAAACACACAAAGCTGCCATCGAAGATACTGAAGGTCTTATTGAATCAAAATTTATTAGCTTTAGGTCGAACTTCAAAGCAGTTTTTGTTTAATTCTTGGATTATTCAGAGATCATTTCTAAAATTATCCAGTTAGATCCCTTTATCAACATCCTAACGTTGGATAGGTCAAGCTTGGGAGCTTCACGGGATTTAATCAGATGCGAGATGACTTTCTTCTTCGGCTTGCGTAGCTCGAATGTGAATTTGCGTAATTTGTACTTCGGTTTGCCGAGCAGCTCTACTACATCCTTGATAATGCTGGCCAGTTCTCTAGCCCCCTTGAAGGCTGCACGCGTGTCCTCTGCAATCTGAACATCCTCGTTGTCTTTGCCTTGGGCGTTCGTTTCCGGTGAATTCTTCACTGTATCATTTGGCTTCTCGTTGCGAGGTGGCTTTACGCCCTGCCCATCATTCAATTCATACTTTGCCATTTTTCTTTGCGAAAACATACTTTTTTAACTTTCTAGGGAGCGCAACCAATTTTGTACGGGAGGAGACTAATATCGCTCTGTCTGTCCTCGGCGTTCAAGATTATAAGCTGCAGAATAATTGGGAGAGTCATTGAACGTTAAATGAAGCAACTTAAACTCACCTGCGCTTGCAAACAAAGGCTTTAAATGCAAATTTAATAGATGAGATTGGCAAAATTGCTCCTTTTTTTGCAGAAAGACTTCTGTTCTTAGTGAAGGGAAGTCAGTACAATTTTGCTTAGCGATGGTGAAAAGAACGAGTATCGACAGCATCTATCGATATTTCAAATGCGATATTCCACTGTCACGAATGATATGTAAAATGGCCTCATGGCTGTTTACAATAGTGCTGCGTCAGGGACGTTGCTAGAGACGCAGCTTTTTTTTTTACATAGGTTTGCACTTTTCTTTTTTGTACATAAGCTATTTGAACTGAAATCATTAAAACAAATTCTCTTGGTCAATTGTATCACTATCAAAAGACAGTTATGTGAGCCCCCGAGGCAATAAATGCACTGCTGGATATGTCGACGGTTTTCATGTTCTCTGAAAATAATAAATACTAGGTTTGGTAAAAAGTAACCTCCTTGGCAAGGAAAAACCTTTTTTTTCTAATTTTGTGTATTATATTCAATGTAGTCCCCTTTCAGGACAATACACTTATTCCAAAGAATTTCCAATTTTGTATCCCGTCCGAAAAATAATTTTCCGAAAGGTCTTCAAAATACTCCTCCTCGGCGTCGATGATCTTCCGTGTGAGCTAAATTTTTGATTAATGAGCCATCTTTTGATGTTTGGGAAGAGATCGTAATCCGATGGAGCAAAATCAGGCAAAAAGAGTGCATGGGAAGCACTTGGACCCTGGCCAAACACTGTTCCTGGTTTTGGTCTGGAGTCTGCAAACGTGGCACCCAGCGGCAGAATAGCCTTTTCATATGCAGAATCTCGCTCAAAACTTGGCGTGTGCGCTCAGTACTAACCCTTGTGGCATCTGCTAGCTCGTACACCTTCATTTTCCGGTCAGCCAACACCATTTCATCTTTTTTTTTTTGACATTTTCTTGTGTAACCTTATCGGAGGGCGTGCCATTTAGGACTTCATCGGCAGTGGAGTTTCGGCGACCATTAAATTTTTGAAAGAAATATTTTCCGGGGTAATCTGAAGAAGCATTAGCCCCATAATATTTATCCAAATTTTTTTTTTTTATTCTCTGGAACGCATTGTGAGCATGTAATAATGTAATGGGACAATATATATCGAAATACTGTTGTGGGCTACTGTTAAAGCTCATTGTGCAGATAATGTCTGCGCTTATTCCAGAGTAGTTGAAGAGAATATGAAAGGAAAAGCGAGATATGTCTTTGTCTTTGGTTTTTGTCGCAATTATTAATAACTACCCTATATGGCAATAGAGGCATTGCGATGTTAAAATTTGTCATCGATATATTGCGTTCGTCCCATCGCCAAGAACAGCTGATTTGGGCGCAAAATAAAAAATGTTTCCAATTGGTTTTCAATTACCGAAAATTGTTGATTATTAGGTGATTAGGTGAGTGCAGATCCGAACGCAGTTTATATAAGCTGTGGTTGCAATTAAATGATGCAAAATAAATGCTTAAATACAAATGGGCAAAAAAGGCCCAAAGAATAAATACTTAAACAAATGTCTAAAAATGGGTAACTCAGGGTGACGACTGGGTTGTAGAGTTGGGTTGCTCATGAGTGAGTGAACAAAAATGAGCTGTTCACTTCACTGAGTGAACTGAACATGCTCACTCAATTTTTGTTCAGTTGTTCACTTGTTCAGTTGTTCACTTGTTCAGTTGCTCACTCAGTTGTTCACTTGTTCAGTTGTTCACTCAGTTGTTCACTTGTTCAGTTGCTCACTCAGTTGTTCACTTGTTCAGTTGTTCACTCACTTGTTCAGTTGTTCCCTGTTGACTCACTTGTTCAGTTGTTCCCTGTTCAAGATTACTCTGCGATACACAAGACAAAATTACTTTTAGCCATATGACATTAGACTTAGACAATTTTGCTGCGTAGAGAGGGATTCTTACTTTTATGTATTGTTATTCGATATTCTTTAATATTTGGGTGGGGGGTTTTGCTAAACATACTTATTCATACATATGTACATCTATTTGTATGTATTTCGAATGAACCACAAAAATAAACTGGGGAAAATTAACAAATGTTTGAAAAACAAAGCATTGAACTGAGTGTACCACTGAACAGGGAACAACTGAACAACTGAACAAGTGAACAACTGAGTGAACAACTGAACAAGTGAACAACTGAGTGAACAACTGAACAAGTGAACAACTGAGTGAGCAAGTGAACAACTGAGTGAACAAATGAGCAACTGAGCAAAGTGAGCGAGTTGTTCACTCACTTAAAAGTGAGCAACTGAACTTGTTCAGTAAAGTGAACACTCTTTACCCAACTCTACTGGGTTGGGCTGGGTGTACTGAAACTCATTTGAATAATAATAAATATGTACATATGTGACATGGCAGATATTGAAGATACAATTTGAACATAATTGAAATGCAAATGGTACGACCATCTCGGATAAGGCAATGCGGATGTGGTGTGTGGTAGTGGGCTGCCAGGCAGGCCTGTTAGTTGCTTCCACCGCAAATTTTACATTTTCTGAGAAAATCATACGTAAGAGTCTAGAGTCAGATCTAACCATATTAAACACACAAAGCTGCCATCGAAGACACTGAAGGTCTTATTGAATCAACATTTATTAGCTTTAGGTCGTACTTCAAAGCAGTTTTTTTTTAATTCTTGGATTATTCAGAGATAATTTCTTAAATTATCCCATTATATCCCTTTATCACATTAGATCCCTTTACCAACATCCTAACGTTGGCTAGATCAAGCTTGGGAGCTTCACGGGATTTAATCAGATGCGAGATGACTTTCTTCTTCAGCTTGCGTAGCTCGAATGTGAATTTGCGTAATTTGTACTTCGTGCTCTCTGCAATCTGAACATCGTTCTCTTTGCCTTGGGTGTTCGTTTCCGGTGAATTCTTCACTGCATCATTTGGCTTCTCGTTGCGAGGTGGCTTTACGCCCTGCCCATCATTCAATTCATACTTTGCCATTTTTCTTTGCGAAAACATACTTTTTTAACTTTCTAGGGAGCGCAACCACTTTTGTACGGGAGGAGACTAATATCGCTCTGTCTGTCCTCGGCGTTCAAGATTATAAGCTGCAGAATAATTGGGAGAGTCATTAAAGGTTAAATGAAGCAACTTAAACTCACCTGCGCTTGCAAAGAAAGGCCTTAAATGCGAATTTAATAGATGAGATTGGCAAAATTGCTCCTTTTTTTGCAGAAAGACTTCTGTTCTTAGTGAAGGGAAGTCAGTACAATTTTGCTTAGCGATGGGGAAAAGAACGAGTATCGACAGCTTCTATCGATATTTCAAATGCGATATTCCATTGTCACGAACGATATGTAAAATAATAAATACTAGCTTTTGTAAAAAGTAACCTCCTTGGCAAGGAAAAACATTTTCTTTTCTAATTTTTTGTATTTTATTCAATGTAGTCCCCTTTCAGGACAATACACTTTTTCTAGAGATTTCCCAATTTTGTATCCCGTCCGAAAAATAATTTTCCGAAAGGTCTTCAAAATACTCCTCCTCGGCGTCGATGACCACCTCGTGTGAGCTAAATTTTTGATAATTGAGCCATCTTTTGATGTTTGGGAAGAGATCGTAATCCGATGGAGCAAAATCAGGCAAAAGGGGTGGCCAAACACTGTTCCTGGTTTTGTCTGGAGTCTGCAAACGTGGCACCCAGCGGCAGAATAGCCTTTTCATATGCAGAATCTCGCTCAAAACTTGGCGTGTGCGCTCAGTACTAACCCTTGTGGCATCTGCTAGCTCGTACACCTTAATTTTCCGGTCAGCCAACACCATTTCATCTTTTTTTTTTTTGACATTTTCTTGTGTAACCTTATCGGAGGGCGTGCCATTTAGGACTTCATCGGCAGTGGAGTTTCGGCGACCATTAAATTTTTGAAAGCAATATTTTCCGGGGTAATCTGAAGAAGCATTAGCCCCATAATATTTATCCAAATTTTTTTTTTTTATTCTCTGGAACGCATTGTGAGCATGTAATAATGTAATGGGACAATATATATCGAAATACTGTTGTGGGCTACTGTTAAAGCTCATTGTGCAGATAATATCTGCGCTTATTGCAGAGTAGTTGAAGAGAATATGCAAGGAAAAGCGAGATATGTCTTTGTCTTTGGTTTTTGTGGCAATTATTAATAACTACACTATATCGCAATAGAGGCATTGCGATGTTAAAATTTGTCATCGATATATTGCGTTCGTCCCATCGCCAAGAACAGCTGATTTGGGCGCAAAATTAAAAATGTTTCCAATTGGTTTTCAATTACCGAAAATTGTTGATTATTAGGTGATTAGGTGAGTGCAGATCCGAACGCAGTTTATATAAGCTGTGGTTGCAATTAAATGATGCAAAATAAATGCTAAAATAGAAATGGGCCAAAAAGGCCCAAAGAATAAATACTTAAACAAATGTCTAGAAATGGCTAACTCAGGGTGACGACTGGGTTGGGCTGGGTGTACTGAAACTCATTTGAATAATACTAAATATGTGCATATGTACATATGTGACATGGCAGATATTGAAGATACAATTTGAACATAATTGAAATGCAAATGGTACGAGCATCTCGGATGAGGCAATAAGGCAATGCGGATGTGGTGTGTGGTAGTGGTTGTAATAATGATTTCCAGGCAGTCTGCCAGGCTAACAGTTAGTTGCTTCCACCGCAAATTTGGAATTTTCTGAGCAAATCATACGTAAACTTTTCCGAAGGATGTGTCCCTTGTAATCAGTGAAGCATTTGACTTGGCCTTTCATCAAGGCTCCCCATACCGGACCCATTCGGGTCGGACATGAAACTCCTTGGCGACCCTGTGACTGCCGCAGAAGAACTTTTTGGCCGGCCAATCATCAAGAATCGTTACCCGCTCCGACAGGGGTGGAGGAGTGGTTCAAAGTCGTTACTTGTAAATAAATAAAAGGCGAAATTACAAAATTATTTTGACCACAAATGCTGGGAAAAGTGCTGCCCCGGCAATGTGGGCGTTGCGCAAAAGTGCCGACGTCAGTTGGGAAAATCTTTTGGGTTCTGGGGCCAAAAATGTTGATGACAACCAAATATGGCTACTAATGCAATTATGGTG